TTTCCCTTTGTTTAAAGGGAGGAAAAACCCCAGCAAGTTTCCTTTTTTGGTAAGGAATGTCCTTGTTTATCATAATCTTGGGAAAACCCTTTGTACTCCCCAAGAGAAGACGGAGTAGTGTTTCATTGCACAGAAGAACATGTCTTCTGCAAAATGCAGGACAGCATCTGCTATAATATAGCAAGCTCATGAGGGATTGAGCTGCTGCAGCAAAAGCTTGGTTTTACTCTACCGAAATTCTGAGATTTGTTCAAATGCAGACAAGCTGCAGATGGAAACTTGTTGGCACTAATTCATTGTTTCTTTTCCTTCTGTTTGGAATTATCTGCAATTTTGGAACTATCTGCTTTATTTTGAAAAAGGATATTTGCCTTTTGTGATAAAAAAAGACTGTTCTTGAATTGTGTCATGATGTTATGGAGCAAGCAAAAGGAAACTAAGATATAGGAACAAGGGAAGATACTTCTTTCTGAGACAGGGTGTGAAATAAGTATTTGTTTTAATAATAAATCTTACATGTGTATGAGCCAGTGTATATTCTTAATTTATAGTCATTATTTTCAAACGGTAATCTGATTTTTTTTTTAATCTTTTCAATTTCATGCTGTTGTCTTTCATTTCCATAGTTGTTCATAATGGTTTGAGCGTTTTTTTTGCAGAAGGCACAGTGCAGAGCCTCATTCAGGTTGTCCCTCCAAATGATTTGCTACAGTGCATTAACCAGAACAGCTGAGGCAGCAAAGGAAACACTGATAATGGGCTGCTTTCCAGGCACTGTAGCTAAAGCAAACACAAGCCAAAATTAAAAGAAAATGTTAGGTAGGCACCCAAGATGTAGTTTGGGCAGATATGCTATTAGCAGTGAATATCCCATTCTAATTAAATTGGTACCTGGGCAGTTTGAACTACCACATTGTCTGTTTGAAAAGGTGACCAATTTTAAGTATATTAGAATTAGGGGTTATATCAGAATAGTCTTTTAGCTAAAACTTATTTGCAATGAAAATTATCTTTGCCTTTTTTTTATTTAATAGATTCTGATGCCTCAAGAAGAATTAAACTCAGCTATTTTCTTCCATGGGTCTAAGGGAAAGAATGCTGAATGAACCTCCAGTAAAGAAAGTTTTTAAGTTAAATTTTTTTTTTTTCAGAAATGATTAGATAGAAGGAGAAAAGGGTATTGGTAATTAAGAATGATTTTTTGTTTTTTTGCTGTTTAACCTCTCAGTTCCTCCCCCCCCACACACACACAAATTACCCATGAATAGTGTGAGTGTTGTGGGGGGGAGGTAGTATTATGTGAAAGAGATTTTTAAGTTGTTGTTCTTGTTTTGAAATGATCTCCAGTCATTTTCCAGACTGTTGTGTAACTATGCAAATGAACAGGGTTTTTGTTTGTTTGTTTGTTTGGAGAGGTGTTTGCTCTAGGGCACATGCACTTGCCAGAAAGACTGGGAGAGACAGAGAGACAGAAAGTGAGAAATCACCCCCCAGGGGGGATGGCCATGCCACAATCCCTTCTCCATTCTCCTCTCGGGATCTTGGGCATGCACACACTTATGCCTGACGTGAGTTTAAGCTACTGTGTCCAGGACTCGAGGTGCAGTTGACTACATGGAAATCCAGTAATGCAGCTATTATGCCAACTGCTGGTCCCAAACAGGTTTTTTTTTTAAAAAAATAACACCAAATTTCTAAGTTTCATGAACTTGTTTCTCAAAGTAGTGAAAGTTTTTGTGTTAATCTGGGTAGCCTGAAATTTTTGTTGTTGGATCTCTTTAAGTTAAAATTTATAAATTCACATTTCATCATTGTTTCTTAGGGTTCTATCAGTTTTTTATAATCCGGAAGAACAGAGATGGGGTGAAAATAAAGTTTTCTTTTTTTAAGAATATTTCTAAAAGTATTGGTTTATGAGTTGTTGCTTTAAAGTCCCAATTTTTACATTTGTCTAAGCATTTCTTGTGGTAATCAAAGATTTAATACTTTATTTCTGTGAAACAAATATTATTTCAGAGTTTCTCATAGTCATTCTGCATATATTCTTAGTTACAATTCATATTCTTTTAGAAGTGCCCTTTTGTCTTAAGGGTCATAGTAACTAATGGCTAAGAAGGAGCTGAGCAAGGTCTTTTCACACTTTCTTTTCTTCTTTGGCATTTTATGTCGAAGTATCCATGTTAGCAGGCTCAGGAGGGCCTTTACCATTGACATTGACTTTTACTTTTTTCTATTCTTTTAGGTCTCTCACTACCATCCCTTCAGTGGTTGGCAAGATACCGTTTCCACCTCACTCTCCATGTACCATGCCAGTGACATCTTAGCTGCTAGAGTGTGGAGTTGACCTGTGGGAGTCAAGTAAGTGCCTTTTTTACTATTTGGCATGGTTTTTGCTTACTGTGCAAAGCCATCCAGAGGAACTTCTTAAGATTAGTTTTTAAAAAGGCACTTGCTTGATCCTCGTGGGCCAGCTCTTTGCTCCAGCCTGCTAGTGAACACCTGGTAGCTAACATGAGGCTGAGTTTAGTGAGGTGATTATTACAGAACGGGACATTTTTTATTAGGGTACACCCTAGGGGATGATAGATCTGATATTGACCTTATTTACTATTCATATTGGTGAGCATCCCTTGTTCTAGACCAGAATACATCAGAACTGTGTAAGCTCAAACACTTAGTTCTTCTGGCCTCCTGGAAATTTATCAGGTTATAGATGCCTAACTGCTGGTCGAAACCAACTGTTTTTCATGGAAACAGAACCACTCCCAGGAAAGCCAATCACCTTGATGTTTAATTTAATTTGGCTTAATATATGGAAGGAGTGATAACTGACAGTCATCGAATTTAGATCTCTGTGTTTATCTCTAAAGTTGCTAAAACCTGGTATTTTACTTTTACAGGTCATCTTGTAAATTTTGCCTGTATAAATTAACACATCCCTGTTATGTCATGACAACCATGTAAGGGAGAGTGTTTTCCTGCTCTGTCTTAGGTATTGGTGATGTGACCTGTTCACGCAGGGGAAACTTGAACATTCTCAGGTATGTGAAGATCGTGATTCATAAGCATTTTCTCCCTGCAAACAAAACAGCTTATTTCACTGAGAACTCATGAGATGGTTTTACAACATCTATCTTGCCAGTTGATTTTCCTACCCCTGTCACTATAGAACCAGTGTTGGCAAATTATAGCCTAGACCCCTGCTTGTTTTTGTTATATTGTACCAAGTTTTATTAAAACACGGACAAATCAACTTGTTTACATTTTTTTACTGTGGCTGTCTTTGCTCTACAACAACAAAGTTGAGTTGTTGCCACACAGACCATATGGTTCATAAAACTTAAAATATTTATTATCTGATCCCTTGAGAGAAAATTTGCCAACTCCTGCTATAGAAGAACCAAGTTTCAAATTGTGTCTAAGTATAAACTTGCTAAAACTGCATTTGAATTCAAGTAGGGTTCTAAAGCAAAAACTAAGCCAAGACCTCTATCCTAGTGCTCAGTAGCAAGTAAATATTTACAGGATAGTATGCAGTGGTATGATTAATACAAGGTTAATGAAATGGAAAGCTGTGATGACAGTTCAACTTCTTTCATCTTTTCTTTCATTCACTATATATTCTCTCTCACTTGTTCTTGCTTTCTCAATGAGTATTGGCATTCAGTGACAGGAGTGTGTGTGTGTGTGTGTGTGTGTGTGTGTGTGTGTATGTATATAT